TTAAGAGTATTGTGACTTTAAGATAAAATATCAGTTTGGTAGTTAACCAACATTCTTGGGCCATGATGCTGGTTCTTCGGGGGGGGAAAATTAAATCAAGCTAACATAAAGGCATTTTATTCCACTATCTTTGGGGAAAATACAGTTACACATTTGACCTCTCAGAATCCGTTCCAGAATCCGATGGGCTTTATGGACCACGCACTGAATCAGCAGTAGGGTGTGTGACAGGCATCCTGTCTGTGGCTGAGCATTGTTCATTAGGCATTACCAAAGGCTTCAGAAATGATCTCGGTGTGGTTCACTTTGCTTTGAATGAAACCAGTGAGATCACTAGCACTCACTTTAGTTGAGGACAAGCTGAGGATTAGCAGCTTTTCAAAATGAAAACCAGAGAGTACTAAATGTGTCATCATTGGGAGGGGGTGCTCTGGGTTTAAGAGGATTTGGACACATACAGAGATCATTACTATGTTATTAAGCAGTTATAAGTTAGTTTATATTTGCCAAACGCAAATATAAAAATCATTTCTTAATTATACAGGCATTAAAGTCTTGCATCATTAACCACATATTTAAAACAGCTTTGCATCACTTATGAAAACAATTTGAAATATCAGATTATTGAATTTCCTCTGTTCTAATGGCCCATTGCCTCTGAGACAGCTTTAACCTGTTTATTATCTTATAATTAAATGCATTTTTTTTAAAAGTGTTATTCTGTCATTTATCAAAAACTGAAGTGCAGGGAAATGAAGCAATTTGTGCATATGTTTTCATCCATCCAATGTTCAAATTTAAGAATCAAACTCAGATTGTTTTTTAACCTGGTCTATATTTGTACAGTATGCCAGGCAGGCAGCATACTGTTAAGGGAAAAGAAGGAAAATAATAAAAATTTTCAAAAAATGATTAGCTTTGAGTTAAATAACAAAGGAGCACCAAATGGAAACTCATCCACTAGCCAAGAAGGGCCATAGTTCACTCCACCATCCATCACCACCAGCTGGCAGATGGGCTCAAGAGTAATGCACTCCTGCGTAGATGCCAAGTTCTCTGCTTATGCAGCAATCTTTGTCCTTGCCATCCAGGGTGGGAGGACAGGGAGTGGCTGGAGCCTACAGTTCCACGTAGCAGTACATCCCATTTGAAGGAAACTCTTGGGGTTAGCCAACAAAAGAGGAATTCAAATTTGGAACCAGATCTCACCTGATACATTTTAATTGATTGCCATGTGATTGGCCATCTGTTTATAATTTGTCTTTTCTTTGTATGAGAAATGCTTTTGTACAGGGTGGGACCCATGTGCCTCTCAATTTCTATATGGAAAAAAAATATTTTCTATCTTTTCATTGCTTTGCTGAGTAGCTTTCAACAAGCTTTTGGAAAAAGTCTGGATCCAGATTTATAAAGTATCAACTGATGCTGTGCTAAAACAATAGGATATTTTATGGGCTGTAAAGCTCTTATTATTAAGTAATTTTTGGTTGTGGTAATTTTAATAATAAGAGTAGTAAACTATTCTACAGGGTGGAAGGCTGATGAACCTTTTAAAATCAGTTGAGATTGTTTAAATTCAGTTTATGCCTTAAGAACTAAACCTTAAGTATCTCATTTGGCTCTTGCTATAGTTCTATAATTTATTTGAATGTCACTATTTCGATGAGGTATAGACATTGATGCTAGCTGGAATTATGGAGCTAAATGATCAATCCCTAAAATTTCCAGAAACACCAAAATATTTGTGTTTTTACAATTTAAAATGTGCTAATCTTCATTGGTGGAGAAGGAAATGGCACCCCACTCCAGTACTCTTGCCTGGAAAATCCCATGGATGGAGGAGCCGTGTGGGCTGCTGTCTACGGGATCACACAGAGTCGGACACGACTGAAGTGACTTAGCAGCAGCAGCAATCTTCATTGGGCCAAATTTCATTCTCTTGTCTAAACCTCCCTTTTATGAGTCTCTCATTAAAACCATGGTGGTTAATATAAGACCAGGGAGCTGCATTTCTTAAAGATGAAGAACAGCATTTCTCTAGCTTTGGGGCACCAGAATAATGGTGGGTGCTCCATGACCCGGCCCAAATCCATGAAATCAGAATCTGGGGTCTGGACAGCTTTTGTTGTCATAAGTGGCTCAGGTCATTCTGATGCACACCAATGTTTGAGAACAAGTAAACTTGAGAACAAGATCAGCCCAAAGGCCAAATACACCCACTGCCTGTTTTTGTAAATAACATTTTATTGGAACAGGGCTACAGCCATAATTTTTGTACTGTCTGTGGCTGCTTTCCCAATACAATGACAGAGTTGAGTAGTAGTGACATAAACCATATGGCCCACAAACCTGAAAGTCTTTACTATCTGTCCCTTCACGGAGGAAGCTTGCCAACTCCTGAGCGAGATGAACGATATAAAAAGAAATATGTTTTTCCAGATCTAGTCATTTCAGTTCACCCATTCATTCATTCATTCACTCCTTTGCCTGGACAAATAGGAATTAAAATTCTTAGAATCACTGAGGGGGTTAAAAATGACTTTAGATATCACCTCTTTATATTCTTCAAACCTTTAAGTTGTTTTAAAAAAGAAAGTAAAAACAGCTGAATAATATGTTTTTAAAAAATTAACTTCTTAAAATTCTGTATTTGATTAAGATTTTGGATATTTAATGATTTTCCAACTTATTGCAAAAGGATCCATGGGCAAGTTAAACTCTGTAATAGCATGTATTTTAGCAGCAACTCAAATAAAATTCAAATATAAGGAAAAAATAAGCCTTTCATCTCAAAAGGTGCATAATGTTAAAAGATTAAAGGGGCTTAGAAATGCATTTGGATTCAGCAAGGCAGTGAAATGAGGAAAAGGGCTAATGATCTTCAGGAGCCAGGGTCAGCCATCATAAAATAAAGATGCTTTCTGGTGATATAGTACAAAAATGCTCTGTACACTGTATGAAGCATCTTGAAATGTGAATAAATTGGATGAAGTTCCAGAAACAATAGATATGCTCAAGTGAATGGGAGGACTGAGTGCAGGAAGGCTTTTGATTTACATAGCATGATTGTTTCAAGGTGCACACAGCCCTTCCCAAGAGCTGGGCTGGATTTTCCTCCCAGCGCCTGCAGGAGATATTGAATTGACATCACAGAAAATTGTCAGCAGAGAAGAGAGACTGATTGCCAGGCTGTAGGAGGGAGTTGGAGAAGGGAATTAGGTTCCTTACACCTTGTTCATCATGTCATTCACTCCCTTCTTCAAAGATCTTCAATGACTTCTCATTACTTAAAGGATTAAAGTCAAGTCCCGGCTGGTATTTCAGGCTTTCTCTAATATGTCCCTTATGGGGTATCACTAAGCATTTTCATGCCTACTACCTCGTTTGATCTTCACGGTATCCTCCTGCAAGTCAGAGGGGGGACTTTGCATTCCCATTTTACAGATAAATAAGCTCAGGAATAGCTGGTTTAGGGGCTTCCCATGTGACGCTAGTGGTAAATAACCCACCTGCCATTGCAGGAGATACAAGAGATGTGGGTTCGATTCCTAGGTTGGGAAGATCCCCTGGAGGAGGGCATGGCAATCCACTCCAGTATTTTTGCCTGGGAAATCCCATGGACAGAGGAACCTGCTGGGCTACCATCCACAGAATCACAGAGAGTCGAACACAACCGAAGTGACTTAGCACACACATAACTGGTTTAATGGACCAGCTAAAGGCCATACAGAAGGCGAGGGCTGAGTCAGGGCTAGGACTCCTGTCCTCTGTGTGACATCATGTTCATGAGTCTTTTCCTCTAGGTTAGCCTGGTTCCTGAAACATGCCTGATGCTTGCTGGTCTTTGCTTGTGCCGTGGAATACCTCCCCCTTCTCCACGTGCAAGGCCACCTCTGGAGTTCCAGCTCCCTTTGGGGCTTACTCGGGGCTCAGTGGTAAAAGAATCTGCCTACAATGCAGGAGACGCAGGAGATGCGGGTTCAACCCCCAGTTCTCTTGGTCTGCTAGCAAATGTTTCCTGAGCTCCAGAATCCTGTGCTCTTTCTCCTCCTCTGAGCTCACATTTATCTTGTTGACACCGTTTTCTTTTCCTCCCAATCCTCCATGCCAAAGCACAGCTCCTCCACTTTCCTGGGTGTTCGTCTTGTGCGCTGAGACTCTTGAGTCACTCTTCAGCTTTGCTCATGTGTATGCCCCATGTCTCCAATGGAACTGTCTGCTCTTTGAGGGAGCATCTAGATAGCATATATTCCTTTTCTCCTCCACAATACCGTCTGTGATGCATCAAGAAGGTGGGAGATCCATAAATATTTGTTGGACAAATGAATAATTTCAATCTCAAGCTGTCTCTGAATATGATTAAGAGAAATTAGATGAAATTGAAAAGCAGAGACCAGGTTGTCTTTTTAACAGCAAATTCCTTTCTGATGAATCAAAATATTCCAAGGACAGCCACTGACCCTCCATGTTCAGCTGAGGCCTGGAGTCGTGAGGGCTGAGTGATCCGAACCTGGGCACAAAACAAAAACCAGCCCCACAGGAAACTGACTTGGAATACGCACTGGTGAGACAGCTCTCTCACAACTTTCACTTGAGGCCAGCAACTCACAGGCAGTTGACCTAACAGGAAGAAACAGGAGCAGGTTTCCCCCCTACCCAAAAGGCTGGCATTGCCATTTCTCCACCTTCCTGGATGTGCACGTGGCTCTGTGCTTTCCTGGCCAGGAACCCGAGGAGCAGCTGCAGTAAAGCAAACCTTCCCTGGAGCTTCACCAAGGTCTTCTCATCTCTCTTTGGTTGTGGGATTAAGAACGAACGTAGTCTCTTTGTGAAGTCTGATACATGGGAAATACAGTTCATGGGGTGACCCCTCAAGGGAGTGGGTGGTGCTTGCCTCTGAGCAGGGCTGGCTAAGCCTTCATGAAGTCTACTCTGTGCAAAGGGCTTTCCCCCTCAACTTTTGTGCATTTCCTGCCCAGTTGCATTGATCCCACCCTCACCCCTAGGATTGGTGTGCAAAACGACCATGCCTATGATCAGCATTCTCTGAGTTCAGGGCCCCGGCCCGGTCAGCAGGGCTATGTGGTCTATAGCAGGGGTCTGCAAGCCTTTTGACACCAGGGTCTGGTTTCGTGGAAGACAGTTTTCCCACGGACTTGGGGATGGTTTGGAGATGATTGAAGCACAGTGGTGTCTGTGTTCCTATGAGACTCTAATGCCCCGCTGATCTGACAGGAAGCGGAGCTCAGGTGGTAATGCGGGCAACGGGGAGCGGCTGTAAACACGGGTGAGGCTGGCTGGTTCTGCTGCCCACTGCTCACCTCCTGGTGCAGCCCCAGGAGGTGGTGGGGCGGTGCTGGGGACTCTTGGTCTATACCATTATCCCTAATTCTGGCTGAGTACATTGACCAAGTCACAACTAAATTTGAGGTTATACCTCTGTACATTGATGACTTCCTCTTGATTTACTAGATCTTTCTGTTGCAGAAAGTGATTATATTAGTCTGAGTGCTACCTGGGAAGCTGAAAATTTATGTGGTTTTTGTGTGTGTAGAATATAATTGAGAGGTTTCTGCAAGAGCCTCTCAATTATATTCCACACACATATTTCTTCACTTAAGAGTAAAGCAGAGCTGTGTAAAGTGAGCAGCGTGTTTACACTAGGTCCCTATGGCTTGCTATCAAATTAGTGGCAAATCAGTATTATAGTAAACAGAGGTCAAAGATCAAACCCACAATTTCACATAAAATTCAAAACACAAGACACAAGACACAAAATAGAAGGCTCGTGTCATGAGACCATCAACTACTCTTAAAAAATAATCAAAACCAGGAAAAGATGAGAGGAAACAAAATTTAAACATGATTTTGGTCCAGGATCTGATGCAAAAGCCAGACCTTACAGAGATCTTTTAAAAACCATGACCACTGACTACATGTCACTCATCTTAACTGGAAACACACATCAAAAGGTGGCAAGAACCAAGACTTAGTAACTCCCGGATTCTATTCATGGACTTGACACTGACTTTGAACAAATCAGAATCTGTCTTCATTTTTCACTCTGAAAATTAGGGTGGAAACTATTGTTTTACTTCTCTTGATGGACAACTCTGGAGAGAATCATGCTAATAAGGAGACAATGGTAATTCTCTCCTAGATTTGATTAGATGTATTTTTAAAAGGTCAAATAATTTAGTAGCATAAAATTGTACACACCACACCCCATTTTTACTGTGGGCAGCTCTCCACTCTTGGCTTCTAAGCAGGAAATGAGAAGAATCACATTTATTCCATGTTAAAGCATTCCTTGAAACAACAACAAAAAAAGCCCCATACAAATTGATTACTGCTTAGCTCTTATTATTGAAATTGGAGTCCTAAATTAGTCAACAGTTCATACCTATCATTATTAATCTAGGTTTAATTAACCTTGAGTTAAAGCATAATGTTTTACTGAGCGGCTTAAATGAATGGGCTAAGCCAGATGACAAATATTATTGGGAAACAGCAAAGCCTTTTTAAAAGAGTTTAGAAAAGCTCCAAAGGAATGCTGAATATTTTAAAATAATTTAGTCAATAATTTTAATTACAATGCTGCTTATTAATTCTTAAGTATTTGCTTAATCAATACCACCAGATGTCAGTATATTCTGTATCATTAGCACTGAGTTCTCAAAACCAGCCAGAGTTTTCATTCCAGTTAATGAAAATGATGTAGTGGCCAAATAATTAAAGCTCTCTAGAGGATTATAAATCCTCTTCCTCAGCGTTGGTTATGTTATGGTAGAGGCCCCTCAGTTTAGATACAAATTCCCAGCTTCCCAATAAATCTCGGCACTGAGGTTCTTGAAAGTAAGAATGCCATTCTCTGCAAGTGATGCATGGTCTTTGAGCTCAAACAGCGTGTTGAGGGACACAAACAAGCACAGCTTCAGCTGCGCCAGCTCTGGATCTCTACTTCTGTGCTTTTTTTCTAGCCTATTGACTTGACTTTTGCATTCAGGCAGTGTCTTATTGGCATTTGATGTTTAAACCAAAGGGGTTATCAGCTAGATAAGGGGAATTTTGTTAACAAAGAAATAATTTTTACTAATTCCTGGATATGCACTGGGACTTTTACCTATGTTATCTTATGGAAGCAATAAGAAGTTATGAAATAAAGTTTAAAATGCCTGAAAGCTTATTGTGTGTCTCTTTTTGACAATATGAAGGACTCAAACTGAGTTCTCAAGTCTTTTATTTCAGTTAACAAAAAGTGATGTCATGGTAGAAAAAAAAATTAAGGGTTTTAGTAAAACTGGCAAAATCTTGCATTTTCAGGTTATTATTAAGCAAAAATCAGTCCATTCTTTAACAGGATAAACCTGGAAGGCATTTAAGGCACTAGTAAGGATAAGATTTTAAATGCTGTTTAACAGAATGCTATTAATTGTGAGATATGCATGCATTTTAATAACTGTAAGCTTTAGAAATATTCAAAGTCCCTGGCACTATGTTATGTTTTCAGGAAAAAAAAAAAGTATTTTGTATAAACAGAACCCACATTGGAGCTTCACATTATGGAGGCCCAGTGTGGGACTACCCCAGGTGTGGTCTGGGGAGACAACATAGCAAGGTAGCTCCAAGCTTCTTGCTGCATAATGAAGAATGCACCTCTCAATTAGAAATAAAAGGGTCCTTGTTTATCCTCGAAGTTGATATTGCTGCAGGCTTTACCTTTGAAGGAAAGCCCTTTGAAATATTCTATCTTTATTGTGTGAAAAATGGTTATAGTCTTGTTCCTTTAGGACAAGAGGAAGAAATACTCAACAAAATTCCTTGGATTCTACTTACAAAAACATTGAAACACCTACAGTTATATTAGTGGAAAGATAACATTGAGTTTTTTTTTTTAAAGCTTTTCCAACTTCAAAATATTTGTGGAATTCACTGCAAATAGAATTCCCACTTCCTCAAATGCACACGCACACATATTCTTTCATTGGCACCTGGAGACCACTGCACCAGATAGTTAAGACTCTCTACTGGACAAGGTCAAATCAGAAATTTTCATTTGGTAACATATATGTTTCATGAAATAGACCACTGACGTCATTGTATTTCAATATGTGCACTCACATACCATCCTAAACCCACAGAAATCAGAATGTTCATTGTTACCTAGTAGCTAAAAGAAGGTGTTACAAAAGCCACTCTTAGATAAATCTTACTTGTCCTGAAATGTTTCCTTATAAAAACACCTTAAGCACACCACAGAATTAGTTACTGGTTGAATCAAAATTGTGCCAGCTGGGGAGGACTTTGGTATTTATACAGTGACAGGCAAACCCACTGCTTCCCCAAGCCCCACTATTTTTGGGGGGGGACACTGATGCTCAAAGGAATAACTTGCTTAGGACTCATAGGTCATCACTGGTATGTGAATCCCAGACACTCTCAGGCACCTGGGCATTTGCACTATTTCACTCTTTTATTGAAGTATATTTGATTTACAAACTTGTGTTAGTTTCAGGTATATTGTAGAGTGGTTCAGATGAAGATACTTATCCAAATATATACACATTCTTTTTCAGGTTCTTTTACCCTTATAGGTTATTATAGGATAATTAAGTATAGTTCTCTGGGCTCTGCGGTGGGTCCTTGTTCTCAGTCTATTTTATATATAGTAGTGTGTATATCGGAGAAGGCAATGGCAACGCATACCAGTACTCTTGCCTGGAAAATCTCACGGACGGAGGAGCCTGGTAGGCTGCAGTCCATGGGGTCGCTGAGTCGGACATGACTGAGCCACTTCACTTTCACTTTTCATTTTCATGCATTGGAGAAGGAAATGGCAACCCACTCCAGTATTCTTGCCTGGAGAATCCCAGGGACAGTGGAGCCTGGTGGGCTGCTGTCTATGGGGTCACACAGAGTCTGACATGACTGACGTGACTTAGCAGCAGCAGCAGTGTGTATATGTTAATCTCAAATCCCTAATTTATCCCTCCCACTCCCTTTCCTCTTTCGTAGCCATAAATTCGCTTTCTGGGTCTGTGAGTTTATTTCTGCTTTGTAAATAAGTGCTTTGTATCATTTTTTTTTCAAGTTCCATATATAAGTGATATCATATGACATTTGTCCTTCACTATCTGACTTACCTCACTTTGTATGAAATCTCTAGGTCCAGCCAGGTTGCTGCAAATGGCATTATTTTTCTTAATTCTTAATAATCATAGTTTTATTATAAACTAACTTGTTTACTCACTGTAACTGGTTTCTAGGGATTAACTAATCTTGACTAATCTTCATAATAGATCACTAGCCGAGTAGATAGCGAGTATAATTCATCTTTTAAAGCTGAAGAAAGAAAACAAGAAGAAGAGGAAGGCTTTTTACACATATCTTATTTATTTTTCACAAAGCCATATGAGGGAAGGTAACTCCATGTGACAAACAAGGACACTGATCAGATAAGTTAATTAACATGCCCAAGGTCACTATCTATTTAAACAGCAGAGCCTGGGTTAAACCCAGATCTGTCTGATTCCAGAAACTGTGCTTTGTCCAGCCTGAGATGTTTCTGATTAAGTTGCTTTTCCAAAATTACATGATGAGAGATAATGGAATTGGACACGAAAGTCACTGCCAATGTACTGGATGATGTTTGAACAGGATCTTCACAATTAAGTCCAACAGTATAACTTTTAGCACTAACCAACAACATCCTAAGTTTTTCTCTCTCTTTTATTGCCAGTCCTGATATATTCCACATACTCAGTATCTTAACTAAATTACAGGTTTGTCTTTTTCTTGCAATCTGTAAACTCCCCGAGGACAGTCCATAGGAATTCACCATGAAGTAAAATGTTAAAAATCCCAGTGAGAAATACAGTTCAAATGTGGTTTTAAATGCAGGTACGTATGGTCAGCAGGCTCCTGTTTGCTCACCCAGAAGAGTTTCAAATGGGGCAGGAAGAGGGAATGCGGACTCAGAGCCCTCATGGGGCTCAATGCTCCCGCTGTCCTGCTCTCACTCTTTCCCC